GTGTGTGTGTGTGTGTGTGTGTGTGTGTTACTGTGGAACTGAAACAATAACAGCATACAAGGCTGTCTTTATGAGGAAGAGTTATTGTCTAGAGGGTTTCTGTCCTTTTTTAGCAGCCTATGAATACTGTCTCAAGATGAGCTTTGCGTGAGGACTGTGACATGCATGAGTGCCTTTGCTGTACCTCTGAGAGTCTTGTTTGGGAGCATAGAGTAGATCCTTGATCTTAGGCTTCTTTCTCTTTGAGGCTGTTTTTGGTCTCATGGGTCTCTTGCATGCTTGGTTGACCAGGCCCATCAGACGAACAATCCTGAAATAAAGCAAGCATAAGGAATAAGGGAAAAAGTCTACCTTGGAATGAAGAAAAGAAACAAAACCTGCACACCAATTGAAATTTAAAGACATCTCCTTCAAGCCACTTCTGTTTGCAGCAACATTATTACAGGTAAATGAATCCTGAATAGAAAAGTCAGTAACGCAGTAACGAGTACGATACGTCCAGCTCTCCTCCCAAAACAACCAACCTATCACGTTGTTATTGATAACTATGAAAAGAAAACACAAATATAACAAAATCTATTGAACTTGAATTAAGAAAATACAAGTAACGATTTAACATAAAATAAAGCACATCTTTCTTTATTGTTTATTCTGTGAAATAAAATGTTGTGAAACCTTCAAGCTGATGTGAAAAAGTGTTTTTTCATCTTATTTTGAGGCAAAGTCACCAAACATCTTAACTGTTTTTTATTACATTTCACTGGTGGTCATATACATGTAGTTTGTATGTCCTGGTCTCAACTGAAAGGGCATCTCTGCGTAATGTAGTATACAAATACAGTTGGAGCCTGGTGTTGTTAGCCTGAAATAACAGCCCTGGGCATCGCCGAGAGGCAACACTTGTCTAACTGGACTTTGCTGGTTATCTGCGCCTCACCTCTCCTTGTCTTCGTCGTCTCCGCTATCGTACTCTGACTCCTCTTCACTGGACAGCTCCATCTCCTCCTCTGGTAAAGGGGGGTAGTCAGGAGGGTAGGGAGGGGGCATGGGGATAGGTGGTGCTGGAGGCAGCAGCTCAAACGGCTACAGACAACACAAGATGGATTACCTTACAAATACCTCAGGGTTCAAATGCTTTCATGTACATCTCTGCACCAGGTCCCTGGTGAGTGCAGGTCGAAACCAGGATTCATTTATGATCTCAGTTGTGGTAATCGATATTAGGTTTAAATTAAATCACAATATTCTGAAACTTATTCCAATGGGTCAACTTTTACCCACAGCAACAACAAAAAAAAGAATAACTGTGATTATTAGTATGGTTTAAAAGGCTTTAGCTCAATATTATGTTGATAATAATTAAGTTCAGTGTAATAATTTTATACATAGATGAAAAACAGCAAATCTTCAACTTTAAAAAGTTGAAAACATTTTTGGCATTTTTGCATGAAAAACTATTGAAACAATTAAAACTATTGCAAAATAATTGTCTGATGATAAACTCATCAAGTAACTCTAACACTTCATGTCCTGTAGGGAAGAACATTGATTGATTTTTTTACTAAGAAGTGGTGAAAATCAAGCTCTCGTTAAATAGTCTCACAAAGTGTCCCCTCCCATTTTAGATGACTCATTATGTCTGCCTTTCAGGCTTTCCTTGAAAATGGAACAATATGATTTTACTGTTGAATCATCACTCGGCTAATAAAGTAGCAAAAAATATGTCTGTAAAAGACTGAAGTGAAAGGCTTTGTGTCTTTTGTAAAGCAAGTCTTTCACGAACATCGATTTGTTTTTATCATCATATTAAATGCCAAGGAATAAAAGTGTGAAGTGTTTTTTTGCTTGTTTTTTCATTGCTGGGATGTTTAAGTGCCACCTTGCAGAACAACATACTGTATGTGCAGTTGGATATTAGACGACTATTGAAGCTGGAATGTTCCTCTGTTCATGTTTGTTTGAGCAAGGAATTTGTGACACTTTCTGCAAAAAAACTATGGTCCAACATGTAACACAGTGCAAGAATGTATTTTCTTTTCAGGAAAGTTGAAGAGAGAGAGATGAAATTAAAAATGTCTTTGTCAGGAGTTTTCCTTTCACATATGAGCAGGAGCAGAACATTCTCCAGTCAGATGCGATATCCCAGGAGTGTTTAAGTGAGGGGTGGTTCAGTATGCAGGGGGTAAGGACACAACATATAAATTGCTGCTGCAAAGATCACATATTTTTGTTAGCCTGTTTTGTTAAGCCTGGCGTCAGCCATAGTAACCAAAAGGCCTCAAATTTCATTGGCTCTCCAAGTTGACATGTTCCTCAAGATGTCCTCTCCATCCTGATATATCTGCAATTTCTTTTGTTCACGTCGTAAACATGCTCATTTATGCTCAACAGTTATGTTTTCACATACAACAAACTCAGTATTGAAATCAATAAGCTGCTGAATTCAGAGGACAAACTTGTATACATTTGAATACTAGTGTCTGACACAGCTTTTCTTGTTCTATGTCAAAAACTTCCCAAACTAATCAGGTCATCATCCTATTCTTTTTCTTCATCTAAAGATCATGTGTTCAAGCTTACCATGGGGGGTCTGGGAGTGACTGGGCCAAACGGACATGGTAAATTCATTTTGTTCATCAGATGAAGCACCTTTATAATTGGAGATAAGAGCATTAGAACAGCAGCGGTTGCACCTCAAAACTCTTACCAAGAGCTGGTAATATAAATACACTGCTGCCTACAACCCGGGCTCCACATGTAAAACAGATTGCAAGGCTTCTGCATTTTCATTTAAAATACATGGATCAAGGTGAGATTAAGGCTGAGGTGAGATACCGAGGGCTCATCAGCAACACACCAGCACCACCAAGATGCTGCTGCTGGAAGCAGCAGCAATAAAAATGCAGGCAGCGCAGCTCCCAAGGAAATGTTAAACCCATAACTCATGCCTCCCACTTATGGTTTATTATTAATACTTGCTTCCCCAAATTGAAATTTAAAAGGCAAATGTTTGCTGTTTGATCTTTAGGAGGTTGGATGCAGTTCAAAAATCTCTGGGGCACTTAATCCAGAATTGTATTTCCATTTTACATCATCAATCTGAAGGCTATACATGCTGTCGAATCTGCATTTCTTCTGTACAGACTCCCACTTTCCAATAAAAGGCAAGTATGAATACAGGGAGAGTATAGAAAAAAAAAGACAGAAAGATACAAATACATACACACAGATGACCGACATCTGCATATCAAAGGAGTAATGGTACTGGATAAAAAATAAGATATGAGAGAAGCTACAGTAACTCACTTGAACGTAAAACTTTGGCACGCTCACGAGGGTGTGTGATATATTTGTCAGAATGCCGTCGGAAGGTGGTGGGTATAAATATTTCAAAGTGGGATTGGGTTGGAATTTCAACCTGGAGGAGAGAAAAGACAGAATTACTTAAAAGCAGATTCTGCAGCCAGAACTCGCTGCCTTGAACACAACAACCCCTTCGCTTAACATCACACAAAATAAGTCAAAGTAATGGAGACACATGAATGTGTTACATGAATATGTGCTTTAGCTGGCTAACTTATTCTTTATGACAAGCACTCAGCCAACAAAATATAAAATCCAGCCATTAAGGGACATTGGGACCGGCCTGCCACGTCAGCAATAAGGCTGGTCCACACATAATGCTAACTTTTATAAGGCAAGACTGAGAGGATAAATCTTAATAGTGCAGCTTAATAAGGAAAGGTGAGGGCAGAGTGTGTGAGTTATGTGAGTTGCTGCTGGGACTGAAAACAACAATCAGAAATATTAGTCATTGCTTCTCTTTGTTTATTTCAGAACAACGAGGAATGTTACTAAGTGGATCGTATTGGAGTTGGAGCTGATAGATTTCAAAGAGCAATTACTTTTCTTAAAGAAGTGCAAGGAAGAATAGAAAGACATCGTCCGTGTTAGTTAAACTCAACTCATTTGGAAAGGGCGGCTAGTCTGCAGGAAATGCGATGCTACCAAGAGGGCCAATCACAGCTCTTGTGGTCTGCATCACCTCAACACGTAGTTACATTTTCGGGGAGGTGCAGGGCTCTGCATAGGGTACACGTCTTCCCATGAGCTGCAGCGTAGCTTCGACACGAATTGGGCTTTAGACTAAACAGTGATAACTCCGAAATAATACATTCATTTTTATACGAGGTGAAAAAAAATTTGATAAATACATCACAGTTTTAAAAAGGAATATTAACAAGTAGAAATAAAATCAATGTCCATAATTTTAACTGCAATTTCAAATATTTGTCTCAGCTGCAGTCAAAGCGGTAGTCCAAAACCTTTAAAAGTGAATGTGTCACATCAACATTGGGGTTTTTGTATGGTCCAGGGTTTTGAAATGATTGACGTGGGGCTATGGTAGTTATGTCTTGTTAATGAATGTCAATCATTAACGTCAATCAACTATTTGTCAATATTAACAAATCACAATTTGCCTTATAGGGTTGAACAATCTGTAGAAGGTGCTGCATCATGTGTTTTATACACATTAGGAATTGATTTATTACCAAGAAATACATTAATGAGCAGGACTTATTTTTGATTATATAGGAGTTATTATCAATTTATCAACATTTATTGAATCCCTGTGAATTTATTTTCCAGAAACTTAATTTGCTTCTACATCTGACATCAGAGTGATTTTACCTACATCGACCATCCCAGAGTAAATCAGTAACACTAATGGTAGCATTAGCAGAAGTGCCTCAGCTTTTCCATTGTTGGCTGCTTACTTCTGGAAATGTTGTGTGGCCTCTACAGAGGATTGTTTTCAGCAGCAGAGCTTCTGCAGTGCTTCAGTACATTTTCACAAAGTTTACATACTGCAGATTTTACAAATAGGCACTGAAGATTAAAAATCTTTTGTTTGGTGTGTTAACAAAACACATTTTTGCTGCAGTGCTGCTGACATTAGTCATCAGCATGGTGAAGACGAAATTATATTGTTCCTAAGAATCACTGAGTCAGTTTTAAAGAGTGCACTGTTAAAAACATTTAATATGCATATTTTGGAGGTCATTAAAAACAGTGTTACTTTTGGACACCAGCATTGAATTTTTGTATAATTCCACACTATATTCTCATCAGAATAAAAACATTTTAGTGATAAGATGCAAGATTTCGCAGCTGCAATATGAAACAAGAACTATTTTTTTCCATACACCTGTATGGAACCAAGTGAGGACACCTTTCCTAATTAAATGTGTTTCACATAGAAACATGTTACAAAAACTATATATAGCAAACTGAGGAATATCAGGTGAATAATAATAAAACTAGTGAATGCAGCCTTTACTAAGAAATAAATACAGGCATAATATATTGACTTTTATCAACTGACACATTTCCACAACCAGCATACTATAACTAGCATTAGAATACGATGCTGTTTAATATGAAGGGAGGTGAGATTGGGTTGCAGACAGTACTGAAGTAAAAGCTATCAGAGACCACCTGGTCCCACCAACTGGCAGTACTGACACTCTGTCAGACTCTTAGTGGCAGCCTGACCATCTAATTGGACATGATGCCGCTGCTCTCAGATTCTCACCCAGGTTTACTGTCAGTTGGTCTCCAAGCAGCTTCTACCCGCCTGAACGGACAGCACTTTGGGAAGCATGTGTCACACGTGCATATTTAATAGTATGAAGTCTAATCTGAGTGGGGAATGACATTCACCAGTTATCACCAGGGGAACTGCTTGTTCCCAAATCACAATGTAATAAAATATATATTTTTACAACCTGAGGCAGGGTGAGAACAAATCCTACGATGTTTGAAGAGTAATGCACTAGAGGATGACATAGTAACACACAGACTAGATGATCCACTTTAGTGTCTAAATTTCACTAACTCATCATTTGAATCAACAAAGGTTAAAACCACAAATCACATCACACATCATCTGTACCAAAAGCTGAATAATGACATATATCCAACACTTACCCAAGGCTTGGTGCAATGCCAGTTTCTATAAGGGGAATATTTGGCTTTCGGGAATCCTGTTTTTTCTTCTTCTCTTCTTTAACTCCTTTCCCACTGTAGAAAGAAAAAGAGAGTTGTTGGTTCTGCTCTGCAATCGTTACAAATTTGATATTTAGACCACTACAACAGAGGCCAGTGTCGGCCTTGGCGGAGATATGTGCTCTACTGAGCATTGGTTTTACATACAATTCAAGCAACCCACCTGTCTGACACTGGTGGATCCTTTAATACAGTCACATGATCTTGGCCTTTGGCAAACTCAGCAACAAGCGTCTGATCAAGGACCTCTAACTGATGGAGCCTGATAAGAGCCTGAAGGAGATGTGATGGATAGTTATTACCAAACCTTTCATGCTGAAATTACCATTAGCTTGTGTCTATAAATCCAAAACATACATGACTTTCAGTAACTTAAACTGCAATTGCTTTTGACTAAAAACTCACCTCTTCTGCTGACTTCTCACTTCGAAATGTTGCAAAGGCAGTATGTTTCTGTGGAGAGTGAAAAATGTCATAAACCTCAGCATGGACAGAAAATCCACTGACTGTTACCATGTGAAAACACTAGTAAGGTGTGAGTGAAGCACCACCTACCAGACGACCCCTGTTGGAGAACACCCTGACGGATTCAGCCCCAAAATACTTCAGCAGATCTTCCTTGTCCTCCTGGCTGAGCTCAGATGGTAAGTGGCGGATGAGCAGAGTTTTACTGACCGTGGTCGGGGCCAGGTCCTCATTCGTGTCCATTTCACCGCAGGACATCAGCCCCTGTTACCTCTTGTTGAGTAAGACAGTGTAAACACACGTTTAAAAGCTTCTCATGGTGCAGGGTGACCAGTACAACAGAAACAAATACAGACGAATTCAAGGATAAACCCTGCTGATGCCTTAAATAACACCAGATATTATGTGTCATTTCTGTGTGTTTTTAAACAGGCGAGGCAACATTTAATTTTAATCTCTTCGTATGAAAGATGGTGGTAAACTGCAGGGGGCTAGCTGCAACCTTAGCTCATGGCTAAGTGACGTAAATGCACCACTTCTATGAACCGCTGTTGTTCGTTATTGACTGAATGAAGCCAAAGCCGTTAAATGACGCAAATAAGACTCGTTTACGCAGAAAAACCAGCGCCAAACAAAGATGTTCCAACACGTACCTCCTGTAGCATCAACCCGTGAACATGTACACTACCGCTTTTTACCTCTTCTTCCTTTGAAATTACATGTAACATCGAGCTATACCGCCCCCCAATGGACTGGAGGACGGGAGCGTTAACCCGTGCAGAGACCAGAGGGTCAGAGAGTTTGATGTTTTCAGAGTGGATGAAACATTTTACATCTTTATAGTTGTAACCACATCCCTAAAAACTGCAGTTCTGCACATTAAATTTAACAATCTATTCTACCAGCAAGCGGTGGTCTCCATTTTCTGATCAGTTTAATCTTTTGTTTATTTAAGAAAAGTAACTTAATTTCAATATTGTGATGGTTTGTACACACCTGACAGAAATCAATTGTCTTGCTAAGTTATTATCTGTTGAAGACTGTTCATACTAATTTTCTTAAATTCATGATATATTAATGTAAATCTTTATAGTATGTTACTGAAAATCCCCCCAAAAAAATCACCGGAGTGATAAATCAAACTGTCAGTACAATTTGACAACTCCTGAAAACAGTCCTGTTCATGGTGGAGGGTGTTGAGTGCTACAACAAAGTATTTAGATTTAGCTTTTGGAACTGTAAAGTCAACCTATAGTCTCCTATGACACATTTCTATGGCATCATATTAAATGTTAGCTTAAATTACCTAATTACTGCATAGTGACACATGAAATGTGAATAAATTGTAGTGCTAATTATTCTCATGCACATTTTTTCATCAAGCAATATAATCTTGTGAACCAATATAAAGCTTTCCAATAAACAGCCGTCCAACACATGGACAGGCTAGTTGCTATTTGTCACCAGCAGGTGTCAGCGTAACCATATGTAATAACAGCTGCTGCAGTAGTGATCAATGTGATATTTCCAACTCCTGCATGTAGGATATGAAATGTACTTTTCCCTCTCCAATCATAACATAGTGTTACACAAACAGCCATACGTTAACCCAAATTAAGAGTATTATGTCTAAAGACTAATTTGAAAATGTCCCTTATAAGTCAGATTTCAATGACGTAAAAAGAATGTTCATTTAGATTTGATGTAAAGTATATTAAAAGGAATCACAAAATAGTTTCCTTATTTTTTGTTGTTCAATACTAATCGATCATAATCACATTTAATGAGAACCAGTTTAGGGGTAAGGCCTGACCTTCTGTCTAGCCTTTAAAAAGGCCTTCAGCTGACCATCCCAACCCCCGAGAAAATCCCCCCTACACTTCTCGAGATGCCTCCAAATTCCTGGCCAAATGAAGCCTTTTCTTTGAGGAACGACGCAAGGGCATTCCTCCTCAGGGGGACACAATACCCCCTTTCACCATGGCCTGGCTCTGAAATTTCACAGGTGATGGGAGGAACGCTGGACACTCGATCCTCCTCCCTCCAACGTAACACATCAGACTTAGGGAGAGGAAAAGGGAGAGAGAGATGCTGTTTGGGAAGAAATGAGCTGAGTGTGAATGGACAAGTGACTCAGTTTCTATCAGATGGGCTGATAGGAGGCTTTGGGGGGGATAAAGCTGCTGCAAAACATTCAGATTTGACTACCATACCTGGAAAGGTTGACACTAACGACAATAAATCTCATTCTTATTAAAATGCCACTCCCAGTGCATGTCTCAGTCCAACAAAAAGAGCTGAGGGAAGAGGAGTTGGACCACAGCAGACAGGAGATGAGTACAAACTGAAAACAGAGAAGAAGTTATGTTACCACCTCCATTGGCAAGACGAGGTAACAAAAGAGGCAGAAAAAGGTCTTTGCTTCTGTCAAAGAGACATTATAAAATACACAGCAGTCACCATGATGAATATTGATATTTGTATTATACTCATTGAGCTGATGCTCTCATCCAGAGAAGCTTAAATCAATTGGCAACGGATTCTCATCCTAGTCTGCAGGATTTTTGATAATTCATTAGAAAAACAAATGGAGTCGTTAGAGAAAGGTTAACACACAATGTTACCCAGCTTTCTCCATTAAGGTGGCATTTAGAGACACAAACAGGTCGTCATTTTTTAAAATCTGACAATAGTGCTCATTCAGCTAAATACCTTGTTCCTCCAGGTCACTCCCATGTTTCTGAATGAACACCATGAGGTTTTTATGTATGTGTTATCAGTAATACCTCAACACTCACTATTTCTAGGAAACCCATATCTGGGCAGGTGAGGATGGAGCCAGGATAAGAGAGAGGGGGCCTCAGTCCTTTTCTTATCTCCTTCAAAATAGGATGCAGTGGACCATCCTTTATAAATAGGAAAGGATGTAACGCCTCCCCACAGTTTTTACACCATTTAAAGCAGTACTTTTGTAGTTTCTCTACAGCAGACCCTCGTAAATATAGAAACAACAAAGCATTGGATTTATTCTCGTGACACGATCCAGAATTTATGGTAATCTTTGTGTGGTTGGCTGAGCTCCAACACCATAAATTTAGATATCTTCTTTCATGTGTGTCCAGTCAGGAGTCATGTTGAAGAACAAGCATATTGTAGAATATCAATCATCATCAAAACAAAAAACTGTTAATGTGAATGTTGTTTCACTAAATCTCTAGCGCAGACACCAAAATAAAATAATGAAACAAATGTTTTTATAGATCAAAGAAGCCATGACAGCAAAGTCTGTAATCTCATTATTATTGAGTCAACCTTCTCTACTCATATATTCTTCATGTTATTATGATTTCAACTTTTCAGTCCTTTTTGTTTGATTATTTTCTTTTAACTTTCTATGGATATCCTTTGAGAACATCCTTTCTTAGGAGGTTTTACTTGGATAAGGAACCCGATTTGAACTGTAGTTTGTCACTGAGCTTATCTTCCATGTGCTATAAATGAAGTTGGTTGAAAAAAAAAAAAACCCTATGGTGCAGTTTAACTCCTTTTGAATTCTCCTTCACATCTTTCCTCATGCTGTTTTGCATCGCGTTCAAAGAAAAGTCTTTTTGGACTTTACGACCATAGCCTATCACTTATTCTACTAGAGGTTTTAGAGCCTGCCTCTACTGGCAATCAGCGGTACTGCATCCTGTAGGGATACTCTGACACTTTGTTTATTAAATTAGAAGATCGTACTCAAGATCAAGACAGGATAATGGAGGCTTCTTTGCAGGATAAATAGATAATCTAACTCTCAGTAAGAGAATAAATAATTGAAGTTCCCATGATCTTTTAAAGAAGAATTACATATGGTATTTGTACATTTCCGACAAAGTGTCTCGAATGTCTCCTGGGGGCTGGCTGCAGTTAAGATCATAAATCTCTTCACCTCCATGTAGCGACTGAGACCTGAACCAAACTACATTTTTCTCTAAGATTGTTTCTGTCATTTTAGTTTGTTCAAGTTTTAATTTTTATGGTAAGTTTGGTTTAAATTTGTTATGCCATATGATAAAAATGGGGAGACTGACCCACGATTGGTCAAGTGGATGTATCAATGGGACCTGGCTACTGTGGCTCCATTCCCTGATCACTAATGTGCCAATTCTGGCTCAATGATAATCGGTGACATTTTGGAGGAAGTGGAGATCCAATATCCAGCTTTATATACAGACCATGGTATAAACAGTTACAGTGAATAATTCAATTCATCTTAAAAAGCCACTACTTTAGTGCCGTCTCTTCCTGATAGGAGAACCTGGACGGGAGGTGGGATCTAGGACAGCTTTTATGAACCTTTCCGACATGATACCTTGGTTATACATTGAACTTGCTTTGGTATGTGTTAAAGTGTCCACACCTTCCCACTTGTTTGTTCGGAATGGCTGCTTACAAAAAATAAGGTCAACACTCAAATTCTGCTCACGTCTCCCCAATGTTTCATCTGCTCTCTGATGTTGTCCACAGGAAAACTTTCAAGCTAGGTTCAAGGCCTCAGATGAAAAAAACCTTGGCAACTACAACTACATCTCTTCCTGTTTGTGATTTTCAGGGATTTACCAATAAAAACAAAATTGCTTGAAAAGTCCTTCATAGATTTGCAGCACGTGTGATGTCATTTGGAGAATCTCCTCGGACTCCATGGCCTTTGGCTTTCCCAGCCTGGGCACACAGGGAAGGCTAATATGCCCAGTAAACCCAGCTCATGTCCAGCTCCTGAGGCATTAAATTGACTCTTTCATGGTTGGAGCGCTGAATGGAGCATTGGTAAAGTGTGTATTTCCAGTGTGGCCTGCAGGGAAATTACATCGAAAAACCTCCATGTTGTCCGTATTTGTGCAAGTCTTCTGAAAGCTGACCGATAGGGAAGAAATCGACAAAACCGAGCAGTACCACAGGAAATTGTTGGGGGCATTGGAGCTCATAGTTCAAGCAAGATGACTGTAACATACGAGACAGAAATTTCAAATGTAAACTTTGAGAGTGTGCAATAAACTACAGAAAAGGCTGAAGTGAATTAAGAATCTATCCGCTCATCTTACTCTGGAGAAGACAAGAAGCACATTTCCCAAAATGTTGCGCCTATTCCTTTAACTGCATTTGCATGCAGAAGCCGAATCCCTTCCTCTTCCTGTCTATCTGTTAAACACTGTGCATATGTGAGTGTTTGACATAGTCCATCTCTCGGATTGGTGTGGAATTCCGTTGGTGACTTGGGCTTCAAGTCTGTGCTCTCCTCTCTCTCTCTGAGCAACCATTCAGAGAGCATTCATGATTACAGACACATAGAAGCCAAGCTAATTGTTTGGACAGCCTATTTATATGTTTGCACAAAGTAGGTTGTGACTTTCACTTGGACTTTCACTAATTCAGGGACTCTCCTGAAAGATGAGCCATTAACGGAAGAACTTACAGAACAATCTTGCAATTTAAGTGTTTTTTTTACACAGTAGGCAATATCCTCTAAGGCAGATGAAATAAATTAATGATGAATAATTGATGATGAATAAAATTAAGTGATACCAATGATATTTAACTGACTGACTGAGAAGGAGGCTTGGGGTGCGAAGGATGTGGGGGGGGGCAATATGTATTGGTTTATTTGATTTATTTTTATATTATGTGCCAGGAACACAGAGGCTCCCTGCAGATCTGTAATTTTTGTATCTCATATATCTGGATTTATTCATCAGATATGTTTCAATTGCACTCTGTCGCATTGT